TCATTGATTAAAATTGTTTAAATACGAATTATAATAGATTTTTCACGAAAAAAAATATCTTTTGAAGAACATGAATATGATAGTTTGTTGTAGTGGTAAGAGAAATAAAAGAAAAATTAACAAAAATGATTCAAATTCTTGGGGTGCCAGAAAGTCAAGTTCTTCAGAATATATTTTTTCGTACGTGGAGCCTGACTCTTTTTCTAAGCACCCAAGAGTTTGCCAAGTTCTACGTGCACGAAGTCCGCCATGTCTTGTGTCTGGGTTCACCTTGTTCTGCATGTGAGGTGTCCGCATCGTTTTGCTTGCCAGAAGCCCACCCCTAGTTGTGTCCATGAAGCCCGCGTCATTTTGGTGTGCATCGAGCCCACTTAACACAACGTGTGTGGCGTACACCGAGTCGTTTGCCTTGTTTTGCGTGCCAGAAGCCCGCCAAGTTTTCTGTGAGCGAAGCCCGCCTTGTTTTGCATGCCATGGTTCACCTCGTTCTGCGTGAGTTGAGTCTGCCTCGTTTTGCGTGTGCCGAGTCCGCGTAAGACCCATATTTTTTTTACAAAAATGCGAACTTTTTTTTTTTTCGCAAGATATTTTTCCTAAGCATTAAGTTAAACTTTTGAAGGAATTTGGAAGCAGTTTTACTGTTTATTGAGCAACAATTGGATATTTAGCATAATATTTAAGCCGAAAAATAAATTAATAAGTGAAAAATATAGTAGTGAGACCCATAACATTGTCCAATAGGGTTCTACATTCAAGAATCTCAACGGAAAGTCTCACCTTAATTTCCAAAACTTCACAGTGAGGCGAAGGTGAAAATAAATAGATTAAATGGTGATTTATGTACGAATTTGCAAAACCAATTGATAACCATGACTGTGTATAATTAACTTTGTGTTGCTTAACACTATGTTTGGATGAGGGAAATAAATTTGGAATTTAGGTAAAAATCAGAATTTATAAATTGACATGCACCAATTCCCTTGTTTGGATTCATAAACATAGAAATTTAGAATTTCCGCATGGAAAAAAACTTGGGATTTGGAACTTTCAATTCCCAAGTTTAAATTTAATGTAAATAGATGTTATTTCCCAATTTCTATGATTTAGAGTTTAAAAATAACAAATTCCGTATTCAATTCCATTGTTCTTTTAGGTTTACCAAACAAGAAAATTCACAAATTCTAGAAAATAAAATCTCGTCATTTCAATTTCCGTCATTTTAAAATTTCTTAGTAATCTTAAATTTCTTCATCCAAACATAGTGTAATTGTTTTGTTGAATCGGCTTTGTATTATTAATTATTATGCATGCCGACTTATCGTACAGACCAAGGCAGCTAGATTTGTATTAGGGAAATATCATCGCGAGACGAAGAAATCGGGGCCAATTTCACTTCACTTGATTAAGATTTAACTACCAGCATCATCAATGAAGAGAAATATGTCAGTGACAAGGGAGAAATGAATCTTTTTGGGATCTAAAATGCTATGGAGAAATGAAGGCTTTGCCTACAATTGTAGTTTGTTACACTATTAATTTTCTGCATTATCAAATTTCTAAGGTCTATTGTATATAGAGTTTGATGAGTTTTCATAGAGTTATGAATACATAGATTTTGAATGAGTTTACTTGATTTCCATAGATTCACCTGGATTTAGATTGAATTCTACATAGATTTTAATGGGGTTTGTGAGACTTTTATCATGGACTTTAATAGAGATACGTGGATTGTCATGAACATTTTAATGACCAATTTATTAATTGAGTTTTTTCTTTTTGAAATTTGCACATTGTATGAAATAGTGATTATGACCATGACAAATGATTGTATGAGTTGGTGGAAGTGTCATGTGATGATTTTTGGTAATATGGTGGTGTCTTGGTGGCAACGATAATAATAGGGGTGGAAATAGTGGCAGCGGCATGGTGTGGGGTTTGGTGGAGGAGTAGGGGTGGGGTGGTGATGACGATGGTAGAGGTGGCTGTCATGATGAAGGTGGTGTCGATGGTGGTCATGGTGGTGGTGACAACGACACTAAAAGGTGGTCGTAGGTTGTGGTATGATGGTGATGATCGTGACAAGATGGTGGAAATGGAACCGTGGTGGCACTCTTCGTAAGGTGGTAGTAATTGAGGTAGCATGGGGGTGGAGGTGGCTGTGGGGATGATGCTCGATGACGGCGGTGAAGGCGATGATAACAATAGTGGCGATGGGACTGGTCATGGTAAAAAGACAGTAGCGACATGGCGGTGGAAGGATATTTATTGCATTATGATGGAGTATTTATAAAAAATGAATAAATAAAATCCATAAAAATCTTAGGGGTAGAAGTTGCATTTGATTTGACAATAAACGTACTATATAAAAGCACTCAACGCCCATCCAACTCCATGACTTTTAAAATCAATGAAATTTTGAATACATTTAAATTTTGTAGACTCGTAAAAAGTCATAATTGAATACCATAAGATTTTCCTAGGCTTTTTAGAAGTCATAAAAAGTCTTTACTCAATAAAACTTATGTATGGAATACACGTAGATTTCATAATCAATCAAAGTCAATCAAACTTCATACATAGTACAGCCCCTAAATCAAAGGTTATAATTATTCTAATTTGGGGTAGAACGTAATTGGTTGACTCAAATCTAATGGTTACTATATACAATGCATTGCCTTCCATTGACGTGATGCTGCCTTGGTTGAAGCTTTGGATGCAAGGCTGGGGATCCGTTTGTCTTTGGAGAAGTATTTTGATCACATTATCCTGGAAAGTGATCCTCTTCAGTTACTGTAGGCAGTGGGTAGTCTCCGATAAGATCACTCCCATCTCAGCCCCTTGATAGATGACATTCAATACGGCTTGAGATTCTTCTCCAACTCCTATATCATTCACGCTCGACAGACATCCAATGTCGTAGCGCATAGATTAGTCAAATTTATTTTATTTTTTTTAGCATAAATTCTTTTAGTTTGAAGAGCCTCCGGTGTTATCCATGATGCATTAATTGATGTATGTACCATTTCGTTTAAAAATTAAAATGAAATATGAATATTATGTGACAATTGGGATGGGCATATTTGGTGAAATCAAATCGGATGATCCAACTTAATCGGTTGTATAAAGAAAAAGTGCAAAATGACATTTTCAGATTGTCAATTATAACAGCTTTCAAAATAGAAACAAACTGGGTTGAATTGAGATTGTGATTATGCACCCAATCTGAAGATATTCTCTTATATGGTTTAGGGGTTTAACAATGGAGGTTACATATTGTAAATTTTGAATCAATTATAGCTCTTTATTGCAACATCTTTACAATTTCTAAATCTGGAGATAATCGTTGATTAAAGGAATATGTACTCCTTTTTGCATCTAATTTCAAATCTTCTTCCCTATAACATCGTCTTCTTTTAATGAAGTTTTCGGTGACAGAGCAAAAAAATACATACTTCTCAATTGGCGTGAGCTCCACTTTAGACTCAAATCTTATATTAGAACTCAAATTTAAATTTTAATACGACTCAAAAATCATACATGAATGTTAAGTTCTGAAGCATTATATTCAAATATAGTCAGAGTCCAAAATTTTTCAGTGCATTGGGATAGCATGAACTGAGGTCATGTAATCCAAGAAATGAACCAAATCATCTTGCTTGCTCTGCACGGTAGCTACAGCAATGCCAAGTCTCATCATGAATAGGTTTTGATGCAATGGGACCAACCCTAATGGTCAAAGAAGTTGACAGATGACAGAAGAGCCGGTCGGGGGAACATTACATTTACCGTCCGGCCCAAAACTGATCTGTTTCCTCTCTTTTTGACTCTCAAAGCAGGCTCATCAGTTTGAACAATGCAGGGAAAGGTCAGTATCTTGGGCTGCAAATCTGAAATCCCATACTTCACCAATGTGGCCACCACACTTAAAATATTTTATCCCACACTCTATCCTCCCTCTCCAACAATAACTCTTCCTCACACACACTCTTGTACACTAACAATTAAGTTGTGCGTGACAATCGAACGAGTGGGTGACTATTAGTTGTTGATGAGTACGAGTGTCACATGTATGTACGACTGACAATCACCCAAGTACAACAACATGTACTTGGCATACTAAAATTTTTGCTATTGGGATCAAAGATGTAGCCCAAATCCATACAACTGTTTCTCTTCCTTCCCAACCCAATCGTCCATACTTACGTCACTTTGCCCATGCTCGTCATATACCTCAACACTCTCTGAGAACTTTTGTCAAACAGCATACACCATAACAAGCTTCTACGAAATTTTGGAACATATCGGTAGCAAAATGAGCGAGTAGGGGTAATAATCTTCACTCGCCTTTAAACGAATCCATCACAACTTAGACGCTCCATAAGCGTGGACTACTGTACTTTATATTCCTCTCAATAATGTGACTGAATCTAACCATGTGACAACATTTCGTACAAAATTGACTTTACCATGCGCCTGTTAACATATTCCTGAACACCACATTATTCAAATCCACAGCCCGCCAGTTCTCTCTCCCCACCTTGTCTTTAAACGCTTTTCCAGTTTTGCTACTACAAAACAAATTTGAATCTCTCTTTTTCTTTTGTCACTGCGTTTTTCATCCTTCTTTTTTCACTTTTTTCCAACTTGAAAGTTGAAACTCCACCAGACCAAAATCCCACTCACTCACTAATTTCTTCCAATTTCAATCATGAAGTTACTAGTTTCTTCCCCTTCTTTTTCGTCATGCTCATCATCATCCACCACCACTGCTTTTGATGCAACAATGTGCAGTTCGAAAAGCGCTACCCCCGGCTGCATTGCCGGAATTTTGCGCAGAATTCCATGCTATGGTAGCTTCCCCACATACCCTTCTGACCACATCACAGAAGAAGAAGAAAATCTGTGGAATCTAGTTCCAAGGATCAAGATTTCAATTCCAATGAGAAAACAGGGGAGGAAACAGAGATCTCTGCCACTCCAAGCATGGTGGCAAGGCTGATGGGATTGGATTCAATTCCAGATGACAACTTGGTCAGCAGCCAATCAACCCAAAATTCAGTTTCACGCAGCAAATCGATGAATTCTGCAGACCGGTTCGATGGATGTGACTCAATTCAGCATCACCGGGTAAAGTCGAGTCAATCATTTAGAGAGATGCCTACATTTTTTGAGCTAGATAATGAGGAATTCTTTGTTCTCAGCTTTGAGAGTGAGAGGAAAAGCAAGGAAACAAAAACAAAAGGGAGGAAATGTGAAAAGGAACAGAGCGAAAAAACCGAAAACAGAAGAAAAAGAAAGGCAGAGAAGAAGAAGCAACTTCAAGAAGGACAAAGCAGAAGGACTTTGAAAGATTTGAATTGGAGAGAGATGATGAGAAGCAGAAGCACTTCAGATAGAAGCACTTCTGATGAAGATTCAAAAAGTACTTCAATTGCTACAAAGACGATAGAGAAGAAGAAGACTACATGTGATGTGCTTAAAAATGTAGAATCTGAGTTCAGCTCAGAAGATTTAAGCCCGGTTTCGATTCTCGATTGTGGTCAATTTCTTGTTGATCCGGAAGTCCTTTCTTCAGGTTTGTCTCCTCAATTATGTAGGCCATTTTTCAACTTGAGTTGCACTATTTGTTTCAGTCATTTGCAAATTATTTAAGTACGGTTTTAACTTTGAAGCAAAAGTACAATTGTAGGGACACTAAACAAAAAAATAAAGGGGTTTCTTTAAACTTAATCTTATATATAGGGATTAGCGTTTGTTTAGTGTTTTCGCGGTTATGTTTTTTTTTTATTTTAATTCGGTGGTTAAACTACCTAGAATTACTCAAAAATTAGAGTTGATTTCAAATTGGTACTTGAACTTGGATCCATCAACAAACTTGTACAAAAAGTCAGAAAACCCTACCCTTAACTACATCCATTAGCCAAACCCTACTCATAAATATTAAACCACCTAGCAGATGTGGGCGTAGCCGTGTTGGCTAGAGGGAATGTGCTCCACTGCTCCTCCTATGTCTTCAACTTCAAATCTTCTCTCTGCAGTTTAAATTAGTTTAAAATAAAATATCGCTACATGTATTAAAATTAATACTTTTCTTGTGACAGAAGAAGATCGAAGTTTTGCCAATTCATGCAAAGAAATTTGTCCAAATGGTGATGCAAGAAGAACAAAGAGAAGAGAAGGCAATTGTCTTGGACCAAAGAAGAAAGAATTTCACAGAGCAAAGCATATTGGGATGTGGAGTGAGATTTATAGGCTGACTGAAGCTGAATTGGTCGGTTCAAATTGGATCATAAAAAACAAAGGCACGTGGAATTTTGAAGCTATTTCTGCAGGCATTGGTGCAGATTTCGAGTCACAGATTCTTGGTCAATTATTAGACGAGCTTGTAGATCAATTTGCTGATTTTCCCATGGAAATTCAGAACCTGTAAGATTTACAACCTTTGTAAATTTTAGCATCAAAATAAATCAAATCAACCAACAAAATATTGTATTTCTTAGAAGCATAGATTTTCTTCGTTCAAGCGATAGTAAATCTGTCTTAATTAAATTTAAATTATGAAGAGTTAGATTTGAACTTCGATGCAGAGGGATAGAGACATTATCTCAGTAGCACGAAGAATGTTTCAAACACAAGGGAATGTATCAATTAGTCATGTGATAAGTGTTGTACGCCTCATTGACATATCTTAATTACAGGGCAGATTCTTTCTCGAGCTTGCATTATAACGATGCTTAATTAATTCTTATCCTCTGTACTTAAAGTAGGAACATCTTCCCTTGGACTATTACGACTTAGCCACCAGGGTTCCAAGAGAGGCAGTTCCTGGTGAAGTAATTGAAGCAACAAATTTTCGTTTAAATTGAATGGTCAAGTTTCAAGAGAAATAACCTTGAGTTGGTAAACTAGAGTAAATAAATATTCATGGAGATCTCTATCAAGACAGAAACTTCGGCACGACTGCCTGATTAAGATAACTTTTAAAATGATTAAGACCAGCGTGAGGTAGAGTAAGACCAAAATTTAGAGTCTTAAAGCTTTGTGTGAAGGAATGTTGGGCGGTCAAGCATCAATACATGCAAAAAATAAGTATAGCCGGATGACAATGCTTCGCTGAATGTGTGGGCATATGAACAAGGACATGATTAAGAATGAGGATATGCGAAGTAAAGTAGGATTAGTCATAATTGAAGATAAGATAAGAGAAAATCATTCAAGGTGATTTGGACATGTGAAACAAAGACCTACAAATGCTCTAATTAGAAAATACGATCATGAATATAGAGTAGTTGGAGCTAACGGAAGATTTGGCATAAAATCGAGCACAATAACATTCTAAGATTCATACAATCGAACTTTGTTGTTATTCTGTCGAGGAAAAAATGCTTTCTTATTTTGAAAATTAAAAGGTGGGTGAATCCCCCCATATCAACCTTTATTAAAGGAGGTTTTTTATTAGTTTACTAGTAATAAAGTAGGTAGTTCAACCTCAATCTAAAAGGGTACATGTGCTTGTGATATTACTGTTTGAAGATGAGTGGGTAGAAACTTTAGAATATCAAATTCCCTGGATTTAAGGTATAGTGTTGATACTTGTGGGCCAAGGCATCTCTGGGTGTTGGGACTGAAGCCACTAATCCTTTCTTTATCTAGTGCTCATGCCACTAGCAATTACCCAACTCCTAAAAAGCAGATTGAAAGGTGGAAAAAGTACAGAGATTAGGAAGATTGGGAAGAGATTCACCTATTGGAAAGCCAAAAAGCAATATGCAGATTTCAGGAAAAGATAGATTAACGGAAGTGATTTTCACCCAATTTTGTCATCTTTACGCTCTGTGTAGTTTTTAACCGTTAGATTAATAAATCAAAAGAGAATCAACGGATATAAACGAATATGAGTGTGCAAAAAAAGGTGTGGAAATCCTTTTTTCGGAAAGTTCAAAAGTCTTAAAAGCTGGATACTTCTGATTGCACAAGATTGGGAGGTGGGTTAGGGGGAATTGTATTATTAAGTTCAAACGGGAAGGAAAGGTTTTCCCATGTCATCATGTGCGTACGTGTCACGCCACACATCTCATCTCTCTTTCATCGTGTAATCACAAGATGACACATCTCCTGTCTCTTTCATCATGTAATCATAGGATGAGAAATAGTGATGCACGAGTATTAACACTCGATGACACCCAAGATTCTCAATATCTTTCTGTTGACAAGTAAATGTAGACAGAAAATTCAGCATGATAAACATAAAGTTGGCCAAATGGATATGAATAATTCATCAGTGTAAGAGCTGGTGATACATATAAGGTTATACAGTCGACCAAAAACATCTTAATTAACTTGATAATTAATGATCTCATCGGGGAAAGGCTATCTCATGTTCTTCAGCATCTTTCAGCTTGGGTTTCACATGGAGATTACAGTGAAGACGAACTAATTAAAAGGAAACACTACGTACAGAACTTGCATTCTGCACTGACTTATCTCTCTTCTCCGTCGGGTTATTTCCTCTCTTCTCCGGTTTCCTTCAACCTACTTACGATGAATACGATAAAAATTTAAAAATGGCAAAAGAAAATAACATAGTTAAACGTCAACGAAAGGAGCACTCCGGGGAGTCATCAATTTAAGCCACCATCTGCTCCTGCTCAAAGTATAGCTGCTCCACCCAAGCAGGGAGCATTTCTGGACCTCCGTTGTTAGGGTTATGCTGCTGCTGCTGCTGCTGCTGCTGATCCTCGAAACCAAATTGCCCACGTTGTTGCGAGGGTTGAGGTCCATCCTTGACAAGAGATTGAACCCATGATACATCAGGTTCATCACCATGTGTTGGCGTAGTGGATGAAGCTGTTGGGAAACTGCTTCCGTTGCTTCGGATTCCAAAAGAAGCAGATTTCCTCAGCTTGTTCAGCTCTTCCCCCTGCATACCCCAGTCTAATTTGCCTCCAGGTGAGCCCCAATCTGAAAGGTTAGAGGGCTTTAATGTTCCAAAATCAGCAGAAGAAGAAACTCCAGTGTTACGGTTGCCAGCACTACGCTCAATGAAACTCTGACTCCTGTTTGCAAATGCAGCTGACCTTGAACTAAAAACAGCAGCTGCACTAGATGCATCAACTCCAAACATCGACGAAGCCCTTCCAGGAGAGGATGAGAGGCTGGCAGAGTAACTGGGACGGGCCTGCAGGTTCATGTTTTGGCGCATCCCAGTTGGAGAATGTAACTGGGATGCTGTTGAATCACGCGAAAGGCCATTAAATTGAGGCAAAATTGCAGGTTCAACAGATCCAAAAATGTCGTCAAGGTTAGTAGGGTTCACTCCTCCCAGGCTATTCAATTCCCCTGTTCGATTCCCAGAGGCAGAAAAGGGCAACGCAGGAGATAAGCTATTGTTCCAGTTAGATGGGGAACCAGATATCTCATCTATCAAGCGTTGCTGCCTTCGGCGATCCTTCTCCAGGCTAAGCATTTCAATGTCAAAATCCATATCTCTAGCACTAAGAGTAGATTTCAACCTGCTACCTGGGAGCTGCAAGGTAGGGGGTGCAAAGTTTGGATTGTTTTGCCAAATGAAACCACTCCTAGGAGAAGAAGGTCCAGTGGGAGTCATGGGCGGAGTTGAAGTAGGAGGAATCATCATGGATGGAGAATTGAGGGAAAGTGGGGTAATTGACCCCATATCCAGAGAAGCACCACTGGCCGAGAATGACCTCGGAGAAGGCACAGCAGAACCTGTCGAAGCATACAAGGGACGAAGCTCTTCTGGCTTGTGAGCAAAGAAACATACCCTTCTTGTGCATCCTGTCTCGTCCTTACAAAGACGTGTGCGGTACTGGGCAGGGTGAAGCCAACATTCAAAAATACCATGTGCATATTCACAATCATCTCCCTGCCTGCAGGTCCCCTTTCTGAACTCTGGGCAAGGAACACAGCTGTAATGATATTTCCTTGGATCACGCCGCCTTGCATTTTCTCCAGGGTGGACAAATGGGCACTCTGTCCAGTCATGTGAGTAAGCCCTAGAGCAAGGCTTAACCTTGAAAGTATACATTCTAAACTCATCTGTGCTATAAATCCCATTCTTGATATCTGGAAGAGAGAGATCAACAGGATACTCTTTCCTCTCCGTTCCATCTTTTGAAGCACGAGGAGTTGTAATCTCTTTCTGTTCTTGAGCTTCTGTCTCATTAATCATTTGCTCCGAGAAGTCAAAAGGTTCATCAATACTGGGAACACCCTTGAGCATGCCCTCCAAAGCTTTCTTCTTCGAATTGAAGCTCGAACCATAAGCAGATGTGATCAAGTCACCAGCTTGGTTTCCATTAGCATCAAGAGCACTCGAATCAGCAGAAGCAGCAAGCAAGAGCTTGACAACCTCTGCCGAAGCAGCAGAGCCACCAGCAACAGCACAATGAAGAGCAGTGGCTCTATCTGAACCGCAGGATCTATTAACATTAATAAGACACAATTGAAGAATATAATTCAACACGTTCTTGCTACCGAACATAGCAGCGATCATGAGGGGCGTCCTCTCCTCAAACCCCAACTTCTTCGATCCAATCAGCCTCCCGTACCAATAGCTCGCCTCATCAACATCATGACCCTCTTCTTCGACAGCCCTTTTGAACCCTTCAAGATCATCGCAGGCTGCTAGTTCAAGCAAAATCGAAAAGCTATACTGCATCCCTTCTTGTTTCTCACCCTCCATGACCATATCAGTGGAAGAAGGTTTCCTCTTGGAACCACTGCACATGGATCTCAAGACAGTCTCTTCCTAAAAAAAGAACACATCAATTCAAACACCTTCTGTCAGCAAGATCACAAGCATGGGCACTTAATGGAGGAAAAAGATACACGAACAAAGAGCGAAAGTCAATCATCCAAAGGCATTAAAAAAATATTCATAAAGATCGATTCGAAAGGGTGTGCTAGGGATTTGATCAAAACATAAAAATTCAAACTTTGGTGTCATCATTTAACCATATTATCAACACGCACATGTTACCCAATTTCAAGCAAAAACTGAAACAGAAATCTGTTACGAACACAGCCCCTCATAACAAATACACCCCAACTTGTTTGGTTGCCAGGAAACTGGGAAAAGAAAATTCACATACAGCTCTCTCTCTCTCTCTCTCTCTCTCTCTCTACCCCCTTCTAGTAAACCAATCCACAACTCAACTCTTACACAAATTCTTCTACTCCTTCCAAACTTCTAATCCCAATAAATAACAAAACCCATCAAAGTAAAAGAGAACTAAAATTCAATTAAACTCAATTCTTTTACTTCTTTCTTCCAACTTTTTTAATCCCCAACAAATAACAAACAAACCCATCAAAGAAAAAGAACCAAACTTTCATTCAGAACACCCATTTTCTCAAGAACCAAACAGAAAAATCAACAAAAACTTCCAGAAAACAAAAACCCAAGTGGTATTACACACCAAATTATCGAATTAAACAAAGAAAACACACATAAATTAAAGAGCACGGGCATACCTTACTGCAGCAGAGAAATAATATACAAAGGGAGAAAGAACTCTCAGAGTTGCTCAGAAAAAACCCAACTCCTCCAACCTCCTCTTTTAACTCTACAAAAAAACCAAACTATTAGCAGAGACAGAGACTTTTCGTTCCTTCCTTCTGAGTTTTTATGGTTTTTATTTTCTCCAGTAAAAATAGAAGGAGCCTACTAAATATGTAAGTGCTCTCTGTCTCTCTCTCTCACCCCCTTCTTTCTTCCAGAAAATTTAAAAAAAAAAAAAAAAAAGCAAATTAAAAGAGAAGCTAATAAATTCGTTTTATTTTTAAATTCCAGTGGGTCCCGCCGTTTTTTTAAATATCTAAGAGCTCACGAGTAGCGGATGGCCGCGTGTCTACGATCCTGTGGAACCGACCACACCAGAGTGATGTGTGCAGATTCCGGGACGGTCACCGCTCTTCGCCTTTTTGTCTTTACAAATGACGTGGCGATACCTCCACCGTCCGTTATCCGAGGAGGAAAAGAACCAATTCGCTTCTAGATCATCATGGTCTTTTGCCCACTGTCACTGAAACATAAACGACTGAGATATCTTATTGGTTGGTAATTTTGAATCAATGTGTTGGGAGGGGAAGAGATTCCTACCAATCAATTAATAATTTTTTAAGAGCTTCATATTTGTCATGTTAAATCAAATTTCAATGATTCAAATTAATTGATTTCTGGGTTTTGACGGGAGAGAGATGGAGATCTCTTCCCTGTTGGGAGTGCAGTTTTTCAACTGTAAGGTCGATGATTTGTCTGTCAGCGAAGGGTTGTGGAGACGGCCGGTGAGGCTATCGGTACAGGGTGGTAGTCGTTGTCCACCGCGCACTTTGGAATTCTTGGAGCCATCGACGAATGAGAGAGGCTCGATGCTTTTTCTAGAACCCTCGCTTTCGTTTCGCCTGCAACCTAATAAATATTTGAATTTATTCAATTAATGACGTAATAAATGGAGCAAAAAAGTCTTTTTCTTCGATTTTTTTTTTTCTGGTAGATAAATTTGGCCAAAAAAAAAAAGTCTATCACCGTGGGGCTCTCCCATTTAAGTTGTCCCCTTTTGTCTGGACTTTTTTTTAAAAAAATTAAATTGAATGGTTTGCAAATTGCCTTATTTTCCTCAATTATCTCAGCCTAATCATCGCCATCATCTTTAAACCATGTACTAATCTTCTTCTTAATTTACTCTTGCTTCATTACATATACAAGATTTTGCCTCTTAAGAGACGAGGTAAAAAGTATCATTTCTTGCTACATTCGAAAAACCGAGACCGGACATGCATTTTTGTTATTGCTTTTTTGGACGAGCGCATTTGTTATTGCGGCCCAATCATTTCTGTTGCTTCTTTTTGAAAAAAAAAAAGTTGTAATAAATAAAAAAAAAATTACAAATAGGTTGAAATACACATGGTGAGATAAAAAAAAATTATAGGCAAGTTGTAATTGTCATGATTTAGTAAGTGCTCCAATTGTGATACCCATTGAATTTAATCTATATGTAATTATTTTAGTCGCCAAGAATATATATGTCATTACAAAATCCAATCATGATTTGATTCCTTACACGTGTTTGGATGCAAAAATTATTCTAGAGAGCTGTTAGACCTATCTCGTTGTCTTATTTTCCCACGCATATTATATTTACACCCACTATAAAAAATTAAAATGTTATTTTCTCACCCACTATTATTCCTAAAATAACCCTTAATATATATATATATATAATTGGAGATAAAAAGTCACAGAGTTATGCTTCAATTATACGATTCGACAAATTAAGATGACCCACATAAAATTGCCTTTTACCTGTTCAACGAAAACATAATCATCTACTTCTTCCATAGAAACATCATCTTCTAAGTTCATTCTTTTTGCTTTCTCTGAATGAAAGGAGATGGGAAAGATGAGTTAGGGTTCAAGGAAGACAAATCGTCTAAACATAGTGTGAGAGTTATCACGCCCAAACTTTTCTTTTTTATTTTTTATTTTAAAAAAAAAAGTAATGCAAAAGGGGGTAACTAAGGTCCTTATTAGTCATTTTACAAATTGACAAATTTGTAATTAAAAAAAAAATCATAAAAACGTGGGTGGGAAGATAAGACATTAGGGTGGGAATAACAGCTCTCTTATTATAAAATGACAAAATTTTATTTTTGTATATTTGTGAATTTTTTTGTCTAATTAACATAAAATAACAATGAAATTTGAATGCAAAATTTAATGTGTGTATAGAAACATTAATATATAAATGAGGGATAGTAGTTAAAAAAATATGCTAATAATGATGGCGGTGACGGTGATAATTGGTACCAACTAAAGATCCTGGAAGTTCCAAATTTGTGCATCATATGCTACCAAGTTAAAAATAACATTGTCCACAATAAGAGCATCCACATGATGATTGAGCAATACACATGAAGTTTTTGGAAGCAAACTAGGCCACAATTAACATAGAAGCTCAAGAGCCATCCATTTTTGTACAAAGTATGCACATAGAAACAAACGACACTAATACATGTATGTTACAATGACAAGAGACACAATAGACTTGTATTGGTAGCACACAAAAGTCACTGTCATACAACGAAACCACATCAAGTCATCACCACTCAGCAAGACCATAATACTCATTTAAGGGAACCACAACCCACTAAAGGGATACAATCAACCTAGAATTCTCAAAACTTCTGTTACTCCACCCTCACAGGCCAGAAAACTCATTGTTGTCTTGGATGTGCTACTGGAAGCTCCTGAGAAGTCGAAAATAGGAGAGCACTCATCTTGAAGTGGACTTACTACTTAAATGTTTTCAACAGTTATCCACTCCGTACTTGGTTATATAGCGTTTAACGTGAGCACATTAACTAGTACACCAGAGTTATAGGAATGATTTAATATTTTTAAAAAGCCAGAATATTAAGTTGAGTTGAAAGACAAGAGCGAAGTGACACTTGATGACTAAGTGGACAAGCCCCATCTTATGGCTTGCTACTTTTCTTCAAAGCAAACTTTCCAACTTGAACCCAAAGACAATCGGACGGTCATCCTCTGATCCATGAACAATGGACAAATCAACGGCTCAAAGGTGTGTCCCAAAAATCCAAAGCCAATTTGACTATGCAAGTGAGAAAACGACATCAAATATACGTGCAATACAAGATAAGCGGCATGTCGGTTTCATTTTATGTCGTTTACTTCGGTGGAAAACGACATCTTATGTGTGTGTGATCACTCTAGTTCAATCCTTTCAGCATCAAAGTTTTTAGATTCTAATTAGATATTGATACCTAGGACTGTGTATGCTTGTTTTTGGTCTCCTCTTGTTTGTTTGTTGGTTTTGGTTTTTTTTTTTACGGCTATTATTCGTATTTTGAAACAGTATCGAAAAGTATTTCAATATTTTTTGTGAAAAAGCGACGTAAAGTAATAGAATTTCATTTCACACAACGTTCCGACACTAAAAATTAATTACTTGCATGAACACGATCGAATTACCTATCTTTAGATGATAAAAGTAAGAAAAATTATGAAGAAAATCAGCTAAAAGGAAAGGGTAATTTCAATTGTCCTTCTTTTTTCAGAAAGTGAATGCATTCACATTCACTTTCTTCCAAAATCTCAATTGTTGTTTTTTCTTTTTCATAAAGTGTGAAGGGAAAGTTGGATGACAAACAATGCACAAATGTCATGTTACTAGAGGGACAGGTGTCACTGCTGTGTGTGGCCTTTTTTTGTTTTGGGGAAAATTTAAAAAACATGGGGAGAAATGAGCAAAACAATAGAATGAGAGTGTAGAGCTCGCTTGGAATAATTTTTAAAATAACTGAAATCGTTTATAGATAAAATGTTTTTTTGTTTCAAAAGCAGTTCAAGTGTTTTTTTTTTTAAGATTCACTTACATTCTTACTAAAAATTTATACAAAAAACTTCTTTCTTTCTTTTTTTTTTTTTTTTATCAAAAATACTTTATTTATTTTAAAAATAGTTCCAAACAAGTTTTTAAATTTTATTGTATTCCCTACCTTTTTTTATTGTGTACTTTAATGTTTACATAATTACGTTGAGTTCGGATCCGGACCCAAGTGTTTTGTTCCCCAATACAGAGGAGGGGCAGAGAGTTGTTCAGAGATCCGACCCAAAACATTGACTAAAGAGGCCCAAGTACATAAACTATGGGCTGCAAGACGTTGGTATTATGGTATTCCTAGCCCACTCTATGTGGTCTAATTTACCTACCTAAGACCTTTGCCCCAGAAACAGTGAGTGTGGTATCAATATATTGAACACATATAGGAATCACATCTTTATAGTAGGCCGGGAAATTTGAGCATGATACAAATTTATTGAACTCATGGGTTCAAAATATCAAACTCATGAGTGTGGTACAATATATTGTTATAAAAATTAAGCTTTAAGATGCCTGACTCCTATATATAGGTATTACACTCACCTCAACCACTATGAAAGGCGTAACATTACGTTATTGCTTTGAGATACCAGCACTTTGACGTCTCAGTCGCATGTATATAAGTTTTTCCATCGAGTAAATAAGCTAAACTGACAATACAACACAATGCAAATTACAAAACCGAACCGTCGTAGTAGATCAACAGGAACATTTACATTCTTACAAACAAGTCACTAATACAGCACAAAATGGATTTAGCAATAAATTATAGGACTGATTAGAAAAACAGAGGCTTTTCTAGTGCCAAATGCTATATGCTAAAAGCTACGGTATACGTACATGTACTTACAAAAAGCACAGTTTAGCAAAAAATTAGTCTAGACTAATTCTAGCAGGTAGGCAAACGCCAGGAGCTTGCTCGTAGACGGAAAGAGTTCCAGCAGCAGCCAGTTTCATTAGTGGATGATCACTGAGACGGAACTTCTGGCGTGCTTCAACAAAGGTTCGGCTGAGAACTTGTCCAACCCACTCCTCTACAGCTTTCTTCTTGTCCGATAACCAACCAGCTGCGAGCATCTGAACCATGACTCCGAAATCAATCTCCAGCTGAACCTCATATCCGAATATTTTCTTAAATTCATGATTGATTTCCTTCACTATTTTCTCAGCAAGTGCATCGAAATCAAATGGCTTCAAAACCACTTCTCCGTCCACTTGATTAAGGAAACCTTCCAACCAAGCTTCTGAGTTTTCGGAGATGGAGTCACTGTCACAATCTTCAGAATCTATGTTCTCA